AAGGCAGCTGCTTCCATTAAGAATGGAATTATTAGCAGTTGCTATCATACCATTTACACTTTTCATATCATTCATGGTACCACCACCTACAAGGCCACCTCCACCAAGTTGGGAAGACATCATCATTTCATGTATGATCTTTTGTACAGAACTTTGAGAGTCATTAGCATCAATATCACCTGAAAGAGTGGGTTGATGCACTGAAATATTCGGGGAATTGGCAGAATTCACGTGTGGTCCTGATGATAAGCCACCATGAGAAGTTTGTGGTGGATTGCTTGATGAACACGGTGTTGGGGATTGGAACGTAGACGGATTTGGTTGAGATTGTGGCATCGTATTTGAAGAACTTGGTGAAGGCATTTGAACAGCATTTCCCGCATAGGGGCTATTCAAGCCATTTCCTGCATAAGGGCTGTTCACACCATTCATTGGGGTCTGTTGCCTAGAGTTCATGGAATTTTGATGCAATAGCCGAACAACAGAACTACTAGAGGAAGTAACAGATGCTGGGTTCAAAGAGTTGTTTACACTTGGAATCCCATTACTGGAAGCAAGTTGCATTGCACCAGCCTGGACAGAGCTGTCGTGGTTTGAGTTCTGACTGGCCGTCTGTTGTTGCTGTTGCTGTTGCTGTTGCTGTTGAGACTGTGGCTGCTGCTGCTGAGACTGTAGCTGCTGCTGCTGAGACTGAGACTGATCCTCAGATGGTTGAGCTGGATCATGTACCCCAACCGATGAACCATTCCTACGAGGAAACTTAGCCAAGCTCTCTGGAAAGGCCAAATTTCAAGCACAATTGTAAGGTTTAAAGAACTGTATCAATCCCAACATTCATGCGGTACTCTCAGGGTTAACTTCTTACACTACACAACCCATTATTTTATATATATTCGAGAAGTTCATTTTTTTTTCTTTGAATCAGTATTTTACCTCTGACAACTTAAAGGCACATAGAATGAAATCTGCATTCAAACACAGCCAGTTTGGGTTTTTTCACCTGTACATTATTAGTTACCAGTTGCCACCTCAAAAAGCAATTCATCGTCTTTTGTGAAAATTTAACTTTAGATGATAACATTTATGCCTTGTGATGAAAACCGATCGTATCCTAATCTCTAAACCATCAAACCACAGAAAGATTAGCCCATGCAACCTCACTTTGATCTTTGAGATTAATAGGTAGGTATAGAAAACCTTGAGCTAGCATCAGGAACAAGTAGAAAGGTACACAAGCAGACTTACCCATAGGCCCTGTCCTTGTCTCTCTGCTGTAGTCAATCAAATCCTTCATGCTATTAACAACTTCTGATATCTGCAATTGCACCAGCAGTACATAGCAGAATAAGAAATTATATCCCATGAGACTGTTAATTGAAAGGAAGATTAAAACAAAATCAGAAGAATTATCATTTGAATGCACCACGTATGCAATTTTCAGTCAGTTTATCTTTATAGTGAAAATGTCACTGGAAAAAAGTCTAGGCCTACGTGATAAACACTTGGAAAGTAAAAAGGGGGAAAATTGCTGAACTGGAAGTTATCTTGTACCACTAGACCCTTTATGACACAATGAAATAAAATTGTGGAAATAGGGTAACCTCTGAAAAGTGAGAAAGAAAACGTTTCTCAACAGGAACAGAGTTACATCAGAAATCTCTATCCCAAGAATAGGCCAAAATACATTCCGTCTACTTCACACATTAACTCATGAGTCAGATTTACCAGTAGGAATTTCCAATATTACAACAACAACCTAGTATAATCCCACTAGTGGGGTCTGGGGAGGGTAGTTTGTGCAGACCTTAGCCCTACCCTGGGGTGGGTAGAGAGGCTGTTTCCGATAGACCCTCGGCTCCCTCCCTCCAATAACTCCCTACCCTGCTCTTGGGTGACTCGAACTCACAACCTCTTGGTTGTCTGAGCTGCTACATGCTAGAAATCTGAATTTCGACCTTCATTTTCAGCTTTGCTTTGAATTCCACGGGAAGATGACAGATTAAAAGGAGAGGGGGGCCGGAGAGGATAAGAAAGTTGGATAGAACTGGTTGAGTCAGATATCACGCACAGAACAGGCAAACCATGACCTGGTCGGGAAGTTAAAAGCACTAACAGAAGCAAATATTTCAAGAATTTGTAGTGATATCCACATTGATACAAGCGGAATGTCTCCAAATTCCAGAAAAGGGCCAAAATAAAAACCTTCCAGCATCAGAACAAGGTGCATACCTGAAGGCATCGCACATATCTCTTTGTATAACCTAGATCATTTACCAATGGAACTTCCAAAGCTTTTGCCAACTGACGAGCTGAGGCAACAAACCTGAGTCAAAATCATAAGTCAAATCTCAAAAGTGATATTACTTAAAATTAAAAGCTATATAAAAAAATACATGATCATCAGCAAATACGCAAAGCATAAAACAATTTTCTAGAATACAAGAATATGTACACATAATTTTACACCTTATATATAGATTGTTTTTTTATTACGATTGAAGGTGCTAAAGGGGCAGTCGACCCAAAATCATATGGAGAGGAGTTGTTGCCAGAAGATTATCATTTCTCGAATCAATGCTGACTTAACTAGGACAGAACATACTGAAAGCAAATTATCCAAATAGGTGACACCGACAAGTTAGGATTATAGTTTAGGTATTATTATTACACTCACATTAATTCTGATGTTTGCCAGTAATCTTTTAGTCTAGTTAGAGAGGTATTCCAATACAAGAAAAATTGTGAGTAAATAACCTCAAGATTTAGAGAAATCCTAATTTGCATTAAAAGAAAATTATTTATAAGCAGATTATTAATAGAGTTGAATGGTTACAGAGGATTTGGATTCGTAAGACTAAGCCAACCTTCTTTTTGGGATTAGGTCATAGTTGTTGATAGATTGACATAAAAGGGTATGCATGTATATACCTTCCCCTCATTCTTCCCCTTCTCGCACTAGTACACAGTCACTGAACAAGATGTGTTTCCCCCCCTCATTCTTCCCCTTCTCGCACTAGTACACAGTCACTGAACAAGATGTGTTACATATAGCTCCCAAATATATGTAGCTCCATTGTACAGTCACTGAACAACAACAAGAAGAAGATGTGTTTCATCCTCCACACACACACAAAAAAAAAAAAGATACAAACAACACGAGTCGTTTTATATTTAATCCTCATTATTTATTGGAAGATCCAACACATCACAGACCCTGAACTGCTCCATTGTACACTGTCTCAGGAAATGGAAAGTTGAGCTTTCAGAACCCAACAAGACGCTCATGTTAGTTAATAAAGACATTTTAACAATCAAACACAACTGTAATTCAGGTCTTCATCCAAATATAACAAACCGCAGGTATCAACTAGACATCCATATTTATAGTTTCAGGAGAAATTGAGCTTCCAAGAGTTGGCAGCACGACCACTAACAGCAATCCATAACATTAAAATTTGAGCTAAATCTACTAACAGACGTACACACAACTAACACAAATAAAAAATTATTTCACAGCAAACTCACTATGAGTTAAAACCATAGGATGACTGACTGGTCAAAGATCACAACCTTAGCATCCACAGTCCCAACTTAAGTCTGCTAATAATGATTTGTAAAATAGAAGTACCAGCACAGATCATCAAAGAAGCCAATACCCAAAAAATAAATAGATTAAAAGCTATCTAACATGTGAGACATGGCTCATCATTATCACCCACGTAAAAACTGGAATCCATAATGAATCACCAAGAAAATAACTTTACAACATACAGTGAAATATATGTGCTAAATGAAAATAGTTATGCTTCATTACACAAAGACACAGCACAATATTGTCAGCCTGAGAATTCCGTACAAAAACTGTACCATAAATTTCAGGGACTCACATATTGCAGTTATTCTGCAACTCAGAAACAGATGCAGTAGATGATCCATTTTGGGTTGCTGCCTGGTACTTTTGAGCTGCAGCGCCGAGTTGACTCACCTACGCGTGAAAATCATAAAAGCAAATCAAAAGGATGCAAAAATCACTATATCCAAAAAAAAATTAAAGATGGAGCTTTATCCAGACAAGACAAACAATTAGCCAAAAAGATGTGAGAAACCAATATAGAAGTTAAAGCTCACAGAAGGACAGGAAACACAAATATGAGGAAACTTTACAAAGATATATCAGCATGAAGAAGCACAAATTTCCTCCGGACACAGAACTTAAAGCACCAAAATTCAGGCTCCAGTGGCCTTGGTTATCATTGCCAACAGCTGAAACAGCAATTTAATTTTTTCCGCCACCCATCTACACTGTTGCGATACTATAGCATCAGCAAACCCTTAACCAGGGGCAAGGGCTAACACTACTACCCAATGCACTGCTATCCTTCCCATCAAATATATCTAGAAGGGACGTTAACAAATAAAGACCTCATTTGAGTAGCAAATAGCTGCTTAGCTAGACAACATGCATCTGCTCTAATATAAATTATAAAGGAAAGAAAGAAAGAGTTTTTGCTAAACCAGATTAGCAAACAGAAGCACACAAGTCAGGTTAGAGCTAAACCATGACTACACAGAGATCAAGGTAAATTAGTACTTCAAAGCAACATTGATCAACCTGAGGTATCAACAATCTTCTAGGGATTAGCTCCTCATGACGTCGAGCACAAAATTCCCAAGAGATGATCTGCCAAGTTGACGAAAAGGAAATCAGATAAAAGAAAATAATAGACATTAATCAGCATCGTGCTATGTCTTAATAACTGATTAACAACTATGGTTATTGAAACCAAAATGGCTCTTCAATTAACCTTTAGATCAGGCTGTGAAAACACTATTCGAAGCTGACCATCACGTACAACGCGAAGTTGCTCAAAAACACTCTCCTGAATTGCTTTTGCATAGTCTAGGACAATTTGTCCAGATGAATTCTGATATTCACGAGGCATATCAATATAGAGTAGCTCTTCCAAGGTCCCACTTTCATATTTTATCTTGAAAAGCCTGGGCAAGACTTCAGCGGTCGCTTCTGAATGAATAAGTTGAGAAACATCAGACCCCAATAAGGATTACACGGTGAAAGGATAACCAAATGGGTGCAGAAATTACAAGTCAACAATAATGGATTTGTAAAGTTACAAAGAAGAATGAATCTTCGACAACAGAAAAGATATCAAACCAAAAGAAACATACCAAAACCACGGCCTGGCTTGCGGTTGCATATTTCACAGTGCCATACATCCTGCAAATTATATGATAGTGATTACTTCTAATTTTCTACACAAGGAAAAAGTTGGTCTGCATAAAACTGCATAACATTTTAGGAACAAGTCCAAATTAGTTACCAGAGCTGAAAAAAGAATCTATTTTTTCATAACGGCAAACCGTATAAGAGGTATTTGACTTACTATAACAACATATTTTCACTAAATAAGAAGATTTCTCAAATTTGATTAAGAAAAACCAATAACACAACCAACCTGAGGAAAAACTCCAGTGGTCTGCCGGCCACTTCCATACATAGAGACGCACCACTTTTTCTTGGCATTTGGAGCAAAATACTCGGCGACAAATTTTCTCCAGAACTCTATGTTATTGTCCTATAAAAAAGGTAGTGCAAATGTAACATCATAGGGCTTAGTCAAAAAAAATAATAAACTAAGATCAGAGAAGCTGTGTGGTAGGGTGCAGAGTGTTATGGGCCACACAGAAATTATAGTTGGCACAGTTTTCTCACTTCAGGTCTGTGTTGCTGCTGATACAAATAATGAGTCAGCCGACGGGCACACATCCCAGGCTCATAAGCTGGTTTTACAGGAGACCTTATAGCATGATTCTGTGGTTGAAATTGCGGTTGAAGTGGGTTTCTCTGCTGAGGAATAGCCTTCAAGAGTTGCTGTTGCTGTTGTTGCTGTTGTTGCTGCTGGAGCTGCATAAGCCTCTGCTGGTGGAAAAGCTGAGCTGCTGCTGCAGCTTGAGGGGACTGTTTGGACATGTGAAGTAATTGCTGTTGTTGCTGCTGCTGCTGTTGCTGATGTAGAAACAAAGAGGGTGAGGAATGTTGTGACTCCATCTTCACAGTGGCAAGGCCTCTCATACTTTGTATCTGTTGGGGCTCCTGCTTTACAGTCGTCAGGTTTCGTAGTGCTTGCAACTGCTGTGGTGTTTGATCATTGGTCACTTGGGGCTCCTGTTTGACAGGTCCTACACCTCCTAATCCACCTCGTATGGATTGAAATTGCTGCTGCTGTTGTTGTGTTTGGGAATTGCTAGGGGCAGAAAATTGCTGAAATTGTTGATTATGTTGGTAGTTCTGGGAATCAAGCTGTTGGGACGGTGACTGCTCAGTTAACATCTGGTTACCAGAATGGCTGGGAAACCGCTGTCCCTGAACTTGACCTGAATTTGGATTTGCTGCCATGCCCGATGAGCTAAACGATGTTGAAGGAGCATTAAATCCCATACCATTGCCAGCACTGGCCATTGGATCAGACTCGGCCCCATTATCAGCTCGCCCTGAATTATGACCACCATTTCCTAAGGACTGATGGAGCAGAGACGAAGCATTTGGAGCATTTCCTAGCATATTCATGTTACCAAACTGAGTCCGAGGTGACACAATAGAAGGGAAACCACCTGGGGTAGGCATTCCACCCCCTTGACCACCCAATAAACTAGAATTTGATCGCAATAACGAAGACGGGACAGGCTGGGCACCTCCAAGTGGATTAGGAGGTCCTGGTGGCACCATATCTTTTATGCAATAGATAACAATCTACAAACACTAAAAAAATTATAGAAAACTAAAACGGAATGAAGCCTAACACCCCAGATCTGGAGACTTCATACTTTACTCTGAAAAAGAGAATTACACAGAACAACAAGCAGAACCTACTACATCAATTGACATTCCAAAGTCCCTATTTTGAGCCAAACCAAAGGGAGAACCTTCATGCTGAGAAAACCTGTTGTGCATCATCAATAGAATACCAAGTACAAGCTACAAGCTTTAACTCTTAAACTTCCAAAGCTTCTCTTTTTCTGCTCAAATAAATATCTCTATCCACTTATCCCTGCAAGAAAAAAAACAAAAAAATAAAAAATTGTTTTATTGTGTCAAATTTCTCCCTTGCTTCCATAAAAACATAGCTAAACCCAAATCTCAACACAGTAAGAAAAATCAAAAAAAAAAAAAATTCATACTCAATCACTAATCAAATAAAGCAGCTATAAGTGGAGAATACACGAAAACTTAAACAAGAAAGAAAATCAGAAAACTGAGAAATAAAAAGACGAAAAAAAAAATCCTCTAAAAAACGAAGCTCGGTACAGTAAATAATTCGAGAGTAGAAAAATAAAAACAAGTGATTAATAAATTACATGTTCACTTGATCGAGCCCTAAATCGCGCAATAAAGTGCAAAGAACAAGATCCACAGCTCAAATTAGCTTGGGGACTTTGCTTTGTCAAAGTGAAGAAGTTTCAGTAGAGAGAAAGAGAGAAGAGTTTTCTCTGAGTTTCTGCGCTGTCCTCTTTAGAGCGAGAAAGTTAGAGAGAGAGTTCTTGCGGACGTCAAAACTGCATTCAATCAGATTGAATATTTCTCTTTCCTTCACTCTTTCTTTCTTTACCTTTTTTTCTTTTTATTTTTAAATTTTAAATATTTTTCTTCTCTCAATCAAACGAAGTCAAATCCTCTTCTGCCTTTTTCCTGTGGGTGTGTGGGGTGGAGAAATGTTCTGGTGTACATGCATGTGCATAGTGCAAAAGCTCATAAATATGGACGTTCGGTTCATGAGATGGATGAAAAGGCATAAGTACCCTTAACTTTGAATCGATTTCTCAGTTACAACTTACACATCATATTTAAAAACATTTACTTATATTGTTAGTCTACAAAATTTAGATCACAACTTTCAAGAGTTTAAATTTATTAAATTATATATTAAGTTTTAACATGAATTTTGTCAATCAAATTAATTTATTATTATTTATTTAACATATTCATCAATTTTTTTCTTAAATTATTTAAGTAAATGGTATACATATAAGAGCTCTATGTTGAAAATGGGTATTCCAGCAAAAAAAGGGGAGAAAAAAAGAGATTGGGTGATAGAGAAGGAAGAAGGAAATGATGGACTTTCTAAAACTTGAGATGATTTTCGTTCTATGTGTATCGCCTTACGATTTTCGGAAAGGTCAAGCGTTGAAAATTGAATATAGAAATATTCATATTATTTAAGAATAGCAGTCCAAATTTATAATACGTAGTTTAAGGTTTGTTAACAAAACTACACTAATACGATAAATTTTACTATATAGCGATGTCATATTTAAGTAACATCATTTTGCCCAGTCTCATCTTTTTTTTTATGATTACCATCATTTAGCATACCGCGTTGTGATTACCAAAGATTTGATAGCACCCAACCAATGTCCCCAACATACGCGATTCAACAAATAGCACTTTGCTTAGCCACCAAAAGAAGAAGAAAAAAAGAGAAAAGAGAGGAATTAAGGAATTCTATTTCTTTCTTTTTTTGGATTAGAGAACAGGCGAATACAAATACTTTGACCGAGAAATCATGAGGAAAGAGTCAAAAAGTCAAAAATTGCCCCCTTAACAGAAATTAAAGCACTGATACCAATATCCCCTCCTCAGAGAGGTAAATCCTCATCTTTAGCATCCAGCCACTCCAAAAGCCAGCAACCACAACAATCAAAACTGCTTAATTGATATACAAAAACATAGTAGGTGTCGGGAGAGAGGAGAAATGAAGTGATTGCATTAGACACATTACCATGGAACAAGTGGCAAGTCAATTTCTACCAGCTTCTGAAAGTTCTAATATAAAATACCTTCCACACAATTCAGACTATATACACTCATGTTCCGGAGTGGTGGCACAGGTACAGCACAAGATGGGCAAGAGCTCAGCGATTCAGTAGTTTACAAATGCCTCGAAAAGGTACAAGTGTTTGCCAAGTCACTCCTGGAATGTCCTATTCAAGGCTGTTAGTGCAAATATATAACTGTAATAAACCAGACAAAATCAAGTTAGAAGAATCTTATGCTACCTCAGGTGATGTAACATTTCAATCATGAAATTACTGTGCTACATGTTTTCCTTCTCGGGCAAATCACTACAACAGAGGCAAGCCCTGAAATGATTGCTCTTCAGGATTCATACCTACTCTCAGTGTGCAAGGCAAAATCATGTCATCTTTGCAGCACAAAGCAGCACATGAGGACCAAATATGCAATTACAACCACAAGAGGGCACCCCTATCTCCTAAAGGATCTTGTCACTTTGTTCATCCTTCTAGGCTAAAGCCAAGTCAAAACCTTTAGGGGGATGTTTTCCAGTCAAACTGAAGGTTACTGAAACTATTGACTGCTCCTAAACCACTAAGTAGTTGGTTTCCCAAATCTTGTTGCTGTTGACTCACACTTTGCTCTCGTGCCATTGGCATGCCTACTCTTCCATTCATAGCAACAGAACTATTACCTAATGCAGCCCGAATTCCATTGGCCATTGCAGCCTGGCTCAGTCCGTTGCCCATGTTGCCATATCCTGGAGAGATACCAATATTAGCATTTGCTGTCCCATTCCCAACAAGGCAGCTGCTTCCATTAAGAATGGAGTTATTAGCAGTTGTTATCAAACCATTTACACTTTTCATATCATTCCGCGTGGCACCACCACCTACAAGGCCACCTCCACCAAGTTGGGAAGACATCATCATTTCGTGTATGATCTTTTGTACAGAACTCTGAGAGTCGTTAGCATCAATATCACCTGAAAGAGTGGGTTGATGCATTGAAATATTCGGGGAATTGGCAGAATTCACGTGTGATCCAGATGTTAAGCCACCATGCGAAGTTTGTGGCGGATTGCCTGATGAACACGGTGTTGGTGATTGGAATGCAGACAGGTTTTGTTGAGACTGTGGCATTGTATTTGAAGAACTTGGTGAAGCCATTTGAACAGCATTTCCTGCATAAGGACTGTTCACACCATTTCCTGCATAAGGGCTGTTCACCCCATTCATTGTTGCCTGTTGCCTAGAGTTCATGGAATTTTGGCGCAATAGCCGAGCACCAGTACTACTAGACGAAGTAACAGGTGCAGGGTTTAAAGAGTTGTTTTCGCTCAGAATACCATTGCTGGAAGCAAGCTGCATTGTACCAGCCTGGACAGAGCTTTCGTGGTTTGAGTTCTGACTGGCCGTATGTTGTTGCTGTTGCTGCTGCTGCTGCTGCTGCTGCTGAGACTGTGGCTGCTGCTGCTGCTGAGACTGCTCCTCAGATGGTTGAGCTGCACCACGTACCCCAGCCGATGAACCATTCCTACGAGGAAACTTAGCCAAGCTCTCTGGAAAGGCCAAATTTCAAGCACAATTGTAAGGTTTACAGAACTGTATCAACCCCACATTCATGTGGTACTCCCAGGGTTAAGTTCTTAACACCACACAACCCACTACATTAAATTCAACAAGTTAAATGCATATACAATGAAATCTACATTCAGACACAGCCAGTTTGGATTTTTGCACATGTACATTAGGTAGTCACCTGTTTCGACCTCAAAAAGCAATTTATCTTGCGCGTAAAATTTAACTTCAGATGATAACATTCGTGCCTTGTGAATTGTGATGAATAACAATTGTACCCTAATCTCTAAACCATCAAACCACAGAGAAAGATTAGCCCCTGCAACCTCACTTTTGATCTTTGTGATTACTTGGTGGATATAGAAGACCTTTAAACTAGCAACAGCCAACAGGAACAAGTTGAAAGGTAAAAACGCAGAACTTACCCATAGGCCCTGTCCTTGTCTCTCTGCTGTAGTCTATCAAATCTTTCATGCTATTAACTACTTCTGATATCTGCAATTGCACCAGCAGTATACAGAAGAATATAAATTATATCCATAAGACTGAATTGAAGACGAGATTAAAGCGAAATACAATTACATCAGAAGAGTTATCATTTGAATGCATCATCGTGCAACTTTCAGCCAGATTAGCTTCATTTTAAAAATGTCACTGGAAAAAAGTCTAGGCCTACGTGATAAACACTTGGAAAGTACAAAAAAAAAAAGGGGGAAATCGCTGAACTGGAAGTTATCTTGTGCCACTAGACCCTCTATGACCCACTGAAATAAAATTATAGAAACAGAGTAAACTCTAAAAATTAAAAAGAAAACGCTTCTCAACAGGAAGAACAGAATGGCATCAGAAATATCTATCCTAAGAACAGGCCGAAATATGTTCCGTCTACTTCATAGATTAACTCATAAGTCAGTTGCCAGTAGGATTTAGGAATTCCCAATATGACAAAAGAACAGTTATCAAAATCCCTGAGCTGCTACCTGCTACAAAATCCGAATTTTGGCCTTCATTTTCAGCTGTGCTTTGAATTACATGGGAAGATGGCAGATTAAAAAGAGAGAGAGAGAGAGAGAGAGAGAGAGAGAGAGAGAGAGAGAGAGAGAGGGCACAGGGAGGATAAGAAAGTTGGGTAGAACTGGTTGAGTCGGAACACACAGAACAGGCAAATAAAACCTGGTTGGGAAATTAAAAACTCTAACAGAAGCAAATATTTCAACAATTTGTAGTGATTTCCCCATCGAAACAAGCGGAAAATCTCCAAACAAATCCAGAAAAGAACCAAAATAAAAACCTTACAGCATTAGAACGAGGTGTATACCTGAAGGCATCGCACATATCTCTTTGTATACCCTAAATCATTTACCAACGGAACTTCCAAAGCTTTTGCCAACTGACGAGCTGAGGCAACAAACCTGAATCAAAATCATAAGTCAAAATCTCAAAAGTGATATTACTTAAAATTAACAGCTAAATGAAGAGATAAACGATCATTAGCAAATACACAAGCATAAGAAAAATCCAGAATAAGAGAATCTATAGACATAACTTTAACCATATATATACATTGTTCCTGATTATGGTTGAAGGTGCTAAAAGGGTACAAGGCCTAAAATCATATGGAGAGGAGTTGTCCTTAAAAGCTTACAGTTTCACGAATCAGTTCGGACTTAACTATGAGAGAACATAATGAAAGCAAATGATCCAAATAGGCGACACCAACTAGTCAAAGATTAACGCTTAGTTATTATTGTTACCTTAGATCTGATGTTTACCAGAAGTCCTTTCAGTCCAGTTAGAGAGTGGTATATTAATGCAAGAAAATTGTGAGTAAACAACCTCCAGTTTTATAGAAATCCTAATTTGCGTTAAAGAAAATTATTTATGAACAAAATAATTGGATGATTAAGTTGAATCAACCTTCTTTGCGATAAAATTGTAGTTGTTGATAGATTGATTATGTATTGTTTGTTCGTTATACAAGTTATGACATAAAAAGGACATGCATGTCTATAACTTTCCCTCATCCCTCCCCTTCTCCACCATTACATATAGCTCCCTACATTAATGTAGCTCCATTGTACACTACCAATGAACAACAACTAGATGTGTTCCATACAAAAATAAAAATTAAAAAAGATACAATCACCAGAAGTCCTTTCATTTTTAATCCCCATTATTCTATTGGAAGATTCAATACATCACAGACCTTGCATGGCTCCTCCCACCCAAACCTGCCTTTCCAAG